CGTCGGAGCGTCTGGCCGCGACGCGCCCCCATGCCGCCATCGCGAGGGAGTTACAGCGGAGTGGGATAATGGAAGGCCCCGAGCGGAATGTTTCGGGGTGGTTCGGTCGGCATGTGGTGCAGGCGTCGGCCTGGCCTTGGCCCGCCGGTCGGGTACCACTCGTTTCTTTTGGCAGTGGCGGTTCGCTCCGCTCGCCTCTTTGCATGCTTTGCATTCGTAGGCGCGACTCTCTATGGCCGGTTCCGCCGTTTTACGATCGTAAACTTTTTGCTTGTTTGCGAATCCGCTCGGTTTTTGTGGTCTCGGTTTTGGCCGGGTTCCTCCTCCGCGGTCCGCACTAGTGCGCGATGTGGTCCACGGCGTGCCGCGGCGTGCCACAGTGGGCCAGAAGACCGGTGGAGGCGGCCAAAACTCTAGACGCGTTTTGAGCTCCAGAGTCGCTAAATGGGTCTCGAACCGAACGTGTGACCCCACCAATGGACTCCTCGTTCGGAGAGCAATCCATTGGCACGTTCGGTTCGAGTCCCGTTTAGCGACTCTGGAGCTCAAAACGCGCCTAGAGTTTTGGCCGCCTCCACCGGTCTTCTGGCCCACTGTGCGTGCCTCGCGCCTCGCGCCCGGGAGGAGGGAAGAGGGCCGCCGCCAAAAATATTCGGCGCCGACCTTGCGCGACCTTGCGGGGCCTCCTTTATTCGTGTGCCCAGGGGACGAGACGAGGGTTGGGCGGGGCGCGGGAAGCCCGCTTCGTGCGCATCGTGCGGCTTGGCGGCTTGGTGTTTGTGATCGACAGGTGTTTGGGCAGAGAGGAGCCTGGCCGGGATTTGGGCGCGGGGGCGTGGCGGTGCGACTTGCGTCAGCAGCGTCGGCGTGCCTCGGCTGTCGGCAGGGCCGGGCTAGGGGCCGGGCTAGGGGCCGGGCAGGCGAGGCGTACGTCGAGCAGGAACGCCTGCCGCGCGGCCCGCCCGGCCGCCGCCCGCGTCCGATGGATTGCCTACCCGCCGGGCGACTGCGGCGCCCCGCAGCAGGCCGCCAAGACAGCCGCGGCGGCCCTTCGTGTTTTTAAACAGTGGCAGGGCAGGGCGGCGTTCGGGGCTTCCTGTTCCTCGCCCTCGTCCTGCCGGTCCTGCCGGCGGATGGCGTCACCGCGCTCATGGAGATGATGCCGGCGCGGCAATTGGTCGGGGAGCATTGCCACCGCCACTCGCGCTGTTGTTGTGGATCGCGGCGCCATCCTCGTCGTGCTGGGCGTGCTGGGCGTGCCGGCCGAGCCCCCGCCCTCCACTTTGGGCCTCTGGGCCGTGTGAACCTCGCCACGTGCGGGTGACGCTGACGGGTCGTGCGACGCTAGGCCGCTTGGTCGCGCGGTTTGTTTTTCTGCAAGGCTGCCATGTTCGCCTCTTTCCGGCATGGCGACCGCGCGGCGCCGCGCCGTTCCAAGTGTGTCACGGTCCGTCCGCCGCTGCGACAGGCGATGACCGGCTTGATTCCGAACAGTGCCGCCTTCGAGACCCGCTGTCTCCCTCGCACTCTCGAAAGGGTGCGACTGAGAGCGAGACAGATCGACAAAATACCCGTGGAATGGTCGAGCGCGCGGCGCCAGGGCGGCGCCAGGGTGGCGCCAGGGTGGCGCGGGGCGTCCAAACACCGACGCCTCGCCGCTCTGCTTGTACTTCTGGCGACGCTCCCGTCAAGTATTTACGCGGGCCGGTCGAGGGGCGATATAATTCTCGTCATCGCGGAGGTGTTGGCGACATATGTCGCCGGTCGAGTGCGCGCCGCTGCGCCGCTCGAGTGTCGCGCAGTGTGCTCGCGGTGCCCCCGGGGCCACAGGCCACAGGCCGCCGCACTTGACTCGGTTTATTGTCAAACTGTTCGCCGTCGCCGTTTTTCCTCGCGTTGCATCATCGACGCGGACGCGGCGGACGCGCGTCAGGTGGTCGCCGGGCGCGGCTCCGCGGCCTTTGCGCCCTGACGCGGCGGCACGGCGACGGCAGCGCGCTCTCTCTCTCTCACTCACGGGGCGCCGCGCGGGGGCGTGAGAGAGACGGGGCGACATTCCGGAGCCAGCCCGCAGGCAGGGCCGGCCACCGGGGTTTTCGCTATCACCGCTCTGCACTTGATAAAGCCCCCCGTCTACGGGGCACCCGCGCACGCCGCCCCGCTGCGCTGTCACGGCCGTGACGGTTCGAGTTTGCAGGTTTGCAGTGGGCGCGCGTGCCGTCGGCGAGGCCGAGGCTGGCCTTGGCCGCGGTCGCCGCCTCGCTGTAGCAGGGCCCTACAGGCTTTGGGCCTCTACGGTGTAGGGGCCGTGGTCGCCGCGGCGGCCGGCCGGCCGGTCCGTCGGCGACAAGGGTCCGAGCGATAAGCGGATTAACTGCAGCCACGTGCTGGCGCTGCTCCCAACTTCGAACCGCGCCTAGGTCTCTATGTTTGTTTGTTTTTATTTTTGCCGTGTAGTGGTGACGGCCCAGCGTGCACTGCGACGGACACTCGAGCACCGCCACGGGGGTATGGCACTCGGGGCGGGGCGGGGCAGCCCCCCGTGGGGGGGGGGGGGAGAGGGGGTTCCCCTGTGGGTGTGTCGCGACGCCGACCATTGTCTTAAATACAGCACGGGTGGGGATAATTTCCCGGCCGGTCTCAAGCCCCAAGACGGCCAGGCAAATAAAGGCTTTTAGCGGGCAATCGTCCGGGGGCACACTCACACACACACACACACACGCCAATGCACACACACGCCCTCAAACACACACACACACACACAGAGGCACGCGCGCGCCGGCCGAGTGAATGAACTGCCGGCCGACTTGGGCGCGCGGCGCGCGGTGGTGTGGGCGTGGGTCGTGGGTTCGAGACCCACTGCCGCCGCTCGCGTTGCGTGGCCGCGTGGCCGCGTCATTGCGTTGCCGCACCGCCGGCTACTGCGCGCTACTGCGCAGCGGCGGCAGTGTAGTGCCCCAGACTGGCAGGCTTAACGCCTTAATCCACCCGCACCCTGACCCGTGCAGGGCGTAGCGGTGCCCGTCTGTCTGTCCGCCTGTCGGCCCGCCTCGCCTTGCGTGAATGGAGTCCTACGCGCGGCATGGCATGAGTGTAGTACACTGGCGGTGGTGGTGGGTCCGGCCGTCTGCCGGTTGGTGGGTTGGGCCCGTTGTGGCGGGGCGGCGCCTTGCGGTGTACTGGCCGCGGCGGCGCGGCGGATCGTCACTGCTGTCAGTGACTCGCTAGCGTCCAGTCCGCGTCCAGCCGGTCCTTCCCTCTCTCGGCTCCTTCCCGCGGCTAGTCTGTCGGCCGGGCTGTGTTTTGGTTTCGGTCGGGTCGGTGCCGCGTCGTCTGCCCTCGGCGTGGGCGAGTTCTTTTTGCCGCTGGTGGGCCAGGCAGCCAGGCTCGCAGCCAGGCGACGCCCCTTGCAAGCATGCCCATGCCGTGCAACGGGAAACGCTCCAATGGCGGCGGTGAGTTTGGCTTCGGCTTCGGTCCCAGTGTTTCTGAACCGCTTTTCTTGCCGGTTATCCGGTTTTCCTTTCGGGGGCGTTGGTGGAGCCATCATTGCCGCGTCGCGCGCTTTGTCCAGAAGTGGGTCAGAGTGCACTTTCATTTTCATTAGTTTTTAATGTTTTATTCCCTCTTTGTTCGAGACGAGTGGCGCTGTGTGGGCGGGAAACGGGGCGGGGTTATCTGGATCGGCTCTTGGTTGCCCTTTTAGTCGCCAGCGCTGGCGGCGCCCGCCCCGCCCCGCCCCGCGGGGTGACGCTAGGTCGCGCGATGGCGGCCGTCCGATCGGCTCGGCTCGGCCAAGACCCGCCAGACTCATCAAGGAAAGTGTGCTCGTCTCGGTGCACGGGGAGATGGGCAGGCGTCGCAGGCGGGCAGCCAAACTTGATCCACCCCACTGCCAGACGGGAAGCGCGGCCATCACGTAACAGTGGCGCTGATTTAATTAGACGCAGACGCCCCTTCGACGGCCACCTGCAGCGACGTGTTGTTGTCGCCGTCCCCGTTGGCCCCAGCCTCACCTTGGTCGAGTTTGATTCGCAGTCGTGGGATTGGCTGCCGGTGGCGGCTCGACCCGCACGCGTCGCCGCCGACCGGAAGTGGGACCGGGCCTATAGAGCCCCCTCCCCGTGGCCGCGTGTGGCGGTGTGGCGCGACCGTCATGAAAAATGGAAACAAGGCAATAAGACGGCGTGGCCCGCGTGGCTGTGGGAGAGAGCGGCGCGCGGTTTCCGCGAAAAAGTCAAGGCGGGGGGAGGAAGGCTGGGGCCGCGCACTGAGAAAGTCAATGCGCGTGGGGAAGGGAACCTGAACCGCCGGCCTGGACAGCCTGGAGTCGAGCTGGACGAGGGGGAGGCGGGGGGAGGCGCCACTGGAATGCGCGGGAGGGGAGGGGAGGGGCAACTGGTGACGTCTGCCTCGATAGGATGACGATCGACGCAATAGAGTCCTCACCTTTGAGACCGGCCGGCCACCACCGTCCACCACCGGCCCCTCGCCTCGTTTCCGATTGTTTTTGTTGTGGTCGGCCCTGCCCGGCTCGCGGCTCGGCCGGGCGAGGAGCGCCTTGCAGGTAGGCCGCCCCTCTGGGCCGCCGAGCGCGGCAGCGCGGCGGGCGGGCCCACCTCGCGGGGGTTCCGTCGGACTGCCGTGATGCAACCGCTGCATCTTCGAGTCGGACTCGGACGCGACCGGGCCAAGGCGGGCCAAGGCGACTCCGGCACGCAGGGACCGCAAGGACGCCCTGGCCGGCCTGTTTTGTGACTTTGTGAGCCTCCGCCGCGAGGCGAGGCGGCGAGGCGTCGCGAGGTACTTTGTGGTTGGCACGTCCGCACTCTGGGGAGGCGCTAATAGTTTGGACAGCGCGGCCAGGGCTTGGCCTTGACGCGGACGTCCTGTGTCAACCCGGCGGCCTTGTCAAAAGTCGCGAGTTCGAATACCACCGCCGGCGGCTCTGTTGTTTTGCACCCTGTTTGAACGTGTTGGTCCTTTCCTTTCGGTTGCAGACCCAGCCGCCAACATGCCCGTCGCCATTTCGACCGCGCTGCCCCGCGGCCCGCTGATCGGCGCCCTGGAGGAGGGCACCCGGACGTGCCGCTTCGCGCTGTACGAGGCGTCCACGCTGCGCGAGGTGGCCGTGCACTGCACGCAGGTCGAGTCCCTGCGCCCGGAGGAGGGCTGGGTCGAGCAGGACCCCGCAGAGATCCTGCGCGCCGCCCAAGAGTGCATGTCCGAGGCCATGGCGCGCCTGCCGCCCGGACTGGGTGTCCGCGACGTGGCCGCCGTCGGCGTGACCAACCAGCGCGAGACCACGGTGGTCTGGGACCGCGTGACGGGGCAGCCGCTGCACCACGCCCTCGTCTGGAACGACATCCGCACCAGCAAGACGGTGGACTCGGTGCTGGCCAGGCTCCCCGGCAACGACAAGGACGCGCTGCGCGACCGCGCCGGCCTGCCCGTCAGCCCCTACTTCAGCGCCCTCAAGCTGCGCTGGCTCATGGACAACGTGCCCGCCGTGCAGAAGGCCATCGCCGAGAAGAGGTGCCTGTTCGGCACTGTGGACAGCTGGCTCGTCTGGGTGAGTCTAGCGGCGCAGAGCGACGTACATTGCTCTCGGCGTGTTCATTGCACCTCGCCTGTTCTCTCATGGGTGATCCTTGAGCCGCGATCTGATTCCATCCTTTTGTTTTTTGCAGAACTTGACGGGCGGCTCTCGAGGCGGTCTCCACATCACCGACGTGACCAACGCCTCCCGCACCATGCTCATGAACATCCACACCCTGCAGTGGGATCCCCTCTTGCTCAAGTGAGTGTTGCTGTCCTTGACTGATTCGGTCCCTCTTCCTCCACCACCTTCCTCACGTGGCGCGTGTCTGTTGCAGGGCCTTCGACATTCCCAGAGAAATGCTACCGGAAATCCGCAGCTCGTCTGAGGTGTACGGCGACATCGCGGACGGGCCCCTGCACGGCGTGCCCATCTCGGCCATCATGGGCAACCAGCAGGCCAACCTGGTGGGCGAGCGCTGCTTCAAGGAGGGCCAGGCCAAGAGCACGTACCGCAGCGGCTGCTTCTTGCTCTACAACACGGGCACCGCGTGCGTGCACTCGAAGCACGGTCTGCTGTCCACCGTGGCCTACAAGCTGGGCCCCGACGCGCCCACCGTGTACGCGCTGGAGGGCTCCGTGGCCGTGGCGGGCCACGCCATCAAGTGGCTCAAGGACAACCTGAACCTGCTCAAGGACCCCGCCGAGGCCGAGCGCATCGCCAGCGAGGTGGCGTCCACCGGCGACGTGTACTTCGTGCCCGCCTTCACCGGCCTGTACGCCCCGCACTGGAGGAAGGACGCCAGAGGGTAAGTTACGTTGTTGCTGCTTAAAAACAGCTAACTCTCCGACCAGAACGTTGACATCGTTGTTGATGAGCAATGTCTGACGTGGTTGTGCTTGTCTGTGCAGGATCTTGTGCGGCCTGACGCAGTTCACCACCAAGGGCCACATCGTGCGCGCCTCTCTGGAGGCCGTGTGCTACCAGACCAGGGACATCTTGGAGGCCATGGCTCGCGACTGCGGCAAAATCAGCACGGAGACCCTTAGCGAGCTGCGAGTCGACGGCAAGATGGCCGAGAACAACTTGCTGCTGCAGCTCCAGGCAGACCTCTGTGGCTTCTCAGTCGGTAAGTTGTTTTGAAACTGCCAGGAATGGGGTGCCTTTTCACCTCTATGCTTCTCACTCTCTAACTGTTTGATTTGTTTTGTTCCAGTTCGCACAGACATTCACGAGAAGGCGGCACTTGGCATTGCTATCGCTGCTGGACAAGCCAAAGATATTGACCTAGTAAACATTAATGCCTTGCCCCCCTCCCAGTCACAATGTGATGTTTTCACTCCCAGCATTACCCCAGAGGATAGGAAAGCGCGCTACACCAAGTGGAAGATGGCTCTGACACGGTCCCTGGGATGGGCAAAGCCCTCCAAATCACCTTCTATGACAGGTGGGAAACTTTACTGAAGAACCTTCAGCCCTTTGACTGTGATAACTTTTGACTTTACGCCTCACCCTTCTACCCCTTCCTGCCCCCTACCCCTCTCCCTTCCTTGTGCCCCATGTGCTGGTCTGCAAGATGGGCCTTGGTCCTGGTTCTTTCCCCGTTCTAAAGAGTGCCCCTGCCTGTACTCCCCTTGCCCCATGTGTCAGAATCACGGTGAGGCGATGCTATTAAAATTGTAGGTTATGTTAAATGTGTGTGAGAGAGAGAAAGAGTGATTGAGTGTGAAAATGATTTTTAATTTTTTCCTGAAGTGTGTGTTTGTGTGAGTGTTGCAAGCAAGCGTGCATCAGAGTAGTTTTCCTATATACAATCTAAGCACATACACACTTACAAAATTAATTTTTAAATCAGTAGAAAAAGAGAAAAAAAATAAGGAAACTTATTTCTGATTGTTTCCTTCCTTCCTTAAAAGAAAACTACTTACCATGTATTTGTTGAATTTTATCCTTTATTTTGCCTTTCTCTGAACAGTTGTGACATATTATTTACAGACTGTACTTCTAACTGTTGTAGTGGTGTTACCTGTCTTGTTATAATTTTAAATCCATATTTGTTCTTGCGTTTTCTGTTTGAAACAAGTTCTTGTAAGAAGTTTTCTTTTGAAGTAGTTAAAAAAAAATTTAATTTTGCCTGGTTCCTGGTTTTTTCCCAAGCAAGATGAAATGTTTGAAACCTTTAGTACAAAAAGTATTTAGTGATGTTGTTAGGCATGTCTTAGTTCAGCTTTATACACTGCTCATAGTGCATGTCTGCAGTTTTTGCTATATCTTTAAAGGCAAATTTGTTGATAATGATTTGTATATGCATGTAGGATGCAGTATTGTACTTTGTATTTTATTGATGTTTTGTAGAGTTGCTACTATTAATGGAATGAACTCCTGACATTACGTGTTATTAGAGGGAAACAAATTGTTTGTTTTAGTTCCCCTTAAGTCAGTGTCCACACAGAAGCTATGATGGTATCAGGACTGGCTGTGATTGTTAAATGTGTGTATGCTGGATGAATTATAAATTGTTTCTGAAGTGTATGTGTTAAATGAAGCGTTAGGGGAAATGTTGTCTTGTCACTTTGTGCAATGACTACATTGTGATATGTTTTCTCTTTTCTTTTTAAAAAAGAGGGTGTCAATAAAATATCCTTGTGAGATAAGATTTTTTGTTTGTTAGTGGTGTAATTTTATCTTTTATTACAACTTGTTTAGTGGGACTGAATACAGTGTTATTTTACATTGCGGACAGCATACACGATTTTCGGGCAGCCATGTTATATGTTAGTGTTGCAAATAAATTTTATGATTTTTCCGGTGTATATTCATGAGATTAAATACCATCCAACCATTGCGCAGTTCCTATTCCCTATAATGAATAATAGTGATACAAAATATTATGGAGGCGCTGACAGCAAAAGGAAGCCCCTTCATCAACCCCCAATCAAACAACTGGGAAGAAAAAACAACAACATTGCAAAAGGAACTAAAGTTAGCTGCCTCCCAAAGAGCATACCAGACCAAAAAATAATGTAAATAGTTAGGCACATAGTGTGTGCTGGAAAGGGGTTACGTAACAGGGAAGGCCGAAGAGAAAATACTGCTTCCATTGTTTAGTAACCCTGCATAAAATTGGTAGAACCAATTGATCACTTAGGCCCATTAAAATTCAAGAGCCTGATATGTTACATAGGCCCATTAAAATTCAAGAGCCTGATATGTTACATACAAGGTTAGACCTTCTCTTTCCATGTTGCATTTTTTTCATAAATGTCTTTCTTTTTTTTGTTGCAGATAAACGATACCACCTTCTTGCCTCCATTCCACCAAGTCTCTTCCTTATTAGCTCATTTGCAATGATGCTAGCCTCCGAAATGTAGTCCATTTCTAATCCAATTTTAGTGCCACCTCTCTCTTTTAACAAAAGAGAGTATGAGTGTCCACTGTTGGAAGATCTGATAGATTGATTTTGTTGCAGTTTTTGTTTTGTCTTTAGATTATTTATTTATTTATTTATTTACTACTGTTGTATCTTTGTTTGTATTCCAATTTTTATTACCAATCTCGTTCTGCATTCCAAAGATAGCAATTTCAGCACTTGTGTTTGATGTGTTAGGTTCAGTGCGACACATGTGATCTCGAATATTTTGCAAAGTATTTTTCCTAAATGAATTATTTGATTGAATATTAATAAAAAGATAAATCCGTTTAAAGTGCATGGTTTATTGGGGCAGATTAGTGACAACCCTGTTAATCAGTCTGCATACACACACTATGTATTCCGTACTTAAACCTATATTTTATACATGAGATACAATGAAGACTAGAAGGCGGTGTACAGCACATTGAACTGACGTGGACGCCCACCAATTTTTTTTTTAAATACTTAAAACAAAGAACAAAGGAGGGGTAGGTCATTTCATAGGTAACTCTGGAAGACTTCAAGGATTTTTTTGTTTACAAGCTCTGTTACTATATAATCATCTCCCGTGATGAAGTCAACATGGTTGAAATGGGGCACTGCATGAACCTTCTGAACTGTAGGGCACCTTTTAATGAATCGGACAACATTCTGGAAGACAAGATGACACTCGTGTTAGTGTGAGATAATCGTTAGACGACCGAAGAGCCTGCAGGTAGGCAGCCCAGCTGACACGTATGTCTTTTTGAGCGCGTTGGGTGGCCTACTTGACAGGCGCACGACCTGACGTCGTCCAGACACGTACCTTTGGAGTGGTGAGATAGTCGCCCGTTCCGTAGAACACGTGCACTGGCGTCGCGATGGCGCTGAGGTTGTAAGACGGCGGCTCCAGAGAGCCGTACAGTCGCTGATTCTTTTCCGGGCCGAAGTCGTATTTCCGGAAACCTCCTGAAACAAGAAATGCGCCCGATGAAGGTAAAGGCCCGTGCCCGCTGCAAGTCTCTACTCCGTCCGAAGTCCTCACCGCTTGTGGTGCTCTGCAGGTAGTGCATGAACTGGCGGATGGAGCCGCCATTGGGGTAGTGGGCCATCAACTTCTGAAACTGAAACAAAATGTTATAATTAGTTTCCTGCCGTCTGAGAACCGCACTGTAGGTATAAAAGCATGAAACGAGGCACGTCTTTCTACGAATAAACACCCCAAAAAAGGGGTGTTCTTGAACGCAAAACAACTAGATTTGTCTGTGACAAAATAGTTAGGGCTGGCGAATTCCAGTGTCTCAAGAGTGTGATACGTACAGTCCTGTAATCTGGGGTGTGGGGTGGCCCCATCATCATCGTCATGGGTCCTCGGCAGAGTTCTCTCAACTGGTCGCCCGCAAAGCACACTGGCAAGAGATCCTGGTCACCGAGCGGCATTTTACCATTGAGAACGAGGCTGGTGTGGGAATTCTGAAGGCATGCCATTAACAAATTATAACAAACAATTATCAAGCACTTTCCTATCTATAATATGTTGGTACTGTTTTGGATTGGTAACCCTGCCAAGATATAAAAAGAATGAAAGAAAGAACATTTGCTCACCTTCAGTTGTGGATAGGCCCCGTAAATGAGGTCTAGCACTCGCATTAGACCACCTGGCTTCCTGAAGTAAATTCCAGGCGCAAGTAGAACACTGGAGATGACCTTCTCTTTGGCGTACTCGGGCATCTCGGACATCATCACCACCTGTTTCAAGAAAGGAACCCTAAAGTAGCTCCAGCGCGTACGCAAACACGTATATCACGGGCGTGAACGGTTCATCCAACAATACCTGTGTCGTGGCCCCCATGGAGTGTCCGACCGTGAAGAGTTTGGGCCTGCCAGTGGTTTTCAGGATGTAGTCTATGAAGGTTGGTTGGTCGATCAGCCCATTCTCGTTCCAACTGTGAAAAGTGGTATTGATCACTATTGACGGATTTTGAACAGCATCTATACCCGTGACTGTTGCACCAACCTGAAGTCCCAGAACGCTCGTGACTGTGGCTTGAGACTGACATGTTTCTGCCCGTAGAAGCTGCCCCTGTAGTTGACGAGCCAAACGTCGAAGCCCGCGTCCACCAGATAGTAGGCTGCAAACGGGGCGAAGCGCAGAAGGGCCTTTACCTCACTCGTTCTCGACAAAATACACGACCAGAATCGTCTTGCGCTGGACAAACTTGCCCAGGCGTAAAAAGACACAGAGAGCAAATTTGTCTGAGTACTGACCAGCGCTAGGGCCCAAGGCAAACATTTCGCTGTTGGAGGCGAGGCCGTGTGCGAACAGGACCGGCGTTCCGTGCCGTCCGTAGTCGTCCTCGGCCTTGGTGGCCTTGGCGCGGGGGATGCGGTGCAGGGTGAGTTCGTAGCCGTCGGGGGTGCGCACCGTGTGCACCTCGCACTCGTAGCCCCTCATCGCCACCAACTGCTCCTGCAACAACACGGAGGCGACGCGGGTCTACACTCTGGAAAGGAAAAACTCTACCACACGGTTTCAGATTGCCTTGCTCGCCCTGCAGGCCGGCGCCCAGACGCCCGCCCTCCGAGGACCCGGTTCTGCGCCCTGCACTCCCCGCTTCGATGTCTCGATCTCGAACCCTCGAACCGGAGCCTGCCACACTGCTACACCCGGAAGAGCGTCCTGGCTGCCGAAACGTGCGGAGCACCACAAAACCGCAAAGCGCTCGGGTACATCAAAAGCCAGCCAGCGTACCCGGCGTGCGTACCTCCTCGGGATAAGTACGGGATAATGCCGCACGATTGTCTGGAGCTTCGCGGGGCATTTGCCATTTGCCATTTGCAGGGCGATTTTCAGGTCCGATAGTTAGGAATTTGGGAGGCGAGATTCACCGTGGGCTGAGGCTAGACGGCTGGCTGGCCGCTTGGGAAATGGGTGGGCATGCGAAGACACACACACACGTACTCGTACACACACATGCACGTACGCACGCACACGTACACACACGCGAGCAAACGTGCCCAAGGGGGCGCCCACTCCGAACAAACGTGACCCGAATCCGACCTCTGGATGTGAGCAGCCGATGCGGCTTAGTGAGGGCTGTCCTTACGTTGACGACCACAGCTCGTCGGGGACGCTCCGCGAGTGGAAACCTCTGGGCCTTCTGTGGAAAGCGCTGGCCCCAGAACAGCATAGAGTGACCAGCAGCGCGACGTAGCTGAAGCACGCCATTGTAGTCTACAAAACGAAAATGAAATAAATCACTTCAACGCCAATTCATCAAAAAGTTCTAGCACTTCCAGGAAATGCAAAAATCTTGAAATTTAGCCTTTGAAGTGGAGCTTTTTCTCTGCATGGGCACTTGTACCGGCACCTGCTGCGTTCATTTGGAGCTCCAAGTTCAAGGCCAAGCCGTTTCAAAGGCGGTGCACGTACCGTCGTAACCGGCGAGACTCGGGACAGAAGTGGACTGCCGCGTGGCGTCTCCCCTGGCGTCTCCCTAGCTTCTGCTCCGTGCTCTTGTAGCTCTTCCAGCTCTTGCAGGCCGCCGGTCGCTGGACAACTTGCAGTGCAGTGGACAGAGAAGGTCGCGGCCGGGTGGATGAAGCACATCCAGCAAGGCTTCAAAGAAACAAAACGAAAAATAATAAATAAATACAAACACTTGCTTCCAGGGCTCCGCCTCGTGTATAACTTCAGTCAAATTTTGTCTGAAATTTCAGGATTTTTTTTACAGTGTATGTATTGGCAACCCAAAGTCCACGGACCACACCCTTGCACAACGATCACCCTTTCTAACGCTAACATTTCCTGCGTAAATCTGAAATGTCGCATCAATACGAAAATGTGGATTCGCGCTGCCTCCCATTCACTGTGTAGAAGTGTAGGCAAAACTAGCAAAAAAAAAATAATCAGAAAAACTCACCGGTACGTTGCCGGGCCTGCTGCGCTCAGCACTGCTCCGATTGTCCTGTCGCCGTCTCCGGTGTCCGGCCAACGCGGTATCCTCGGTATGCTCCTCACGGGAGTCCGAAAGGCACTGGTACGCCTCACGCAGTTGATCCCCTTAAAGCCCAAAACGCTTCCCTCCCAAAACGTCACGTGCCGGCCGGGGGAGGGGGGTGAAGCTGGACCAAGATTCGGGTGCGGATGTGTATGCGTTCGTAAACTTGGCGGGCACGTGGTGTTGTAGTACGGCGGCGGTAGCGGCGGCAGTCCGTGTACGGAGACCTGGAGGGGGACGCGCAGTGTGTGTGTGTGTGTGTGTGTGTGTGTGTGCGCGCGCGCGTGTGTGTGTGTGTGTGTGTGTGTGTGTGTGTGTGTGTGTGTGTGTGTGTGTGTGTGTGTGGAAAGGGTGGGGGCCGTCCCTCTGGTACAGTTGGCGTGACTGGCTCGGTCCAAAACCTGAGATGGACACTATCCCAGCCAATTGAGTGTATTACCGGACCGTCACAGAGGTACCCGACAATGTCATAGACACAGACAGACAGACAGACAGACACAGTGAGAGGGGGGGTGAGATGCTGGCGCGCGCGAAGATTAGTGCTCATGCAACGACGGCACACAGCACGCCCACTTCTTTTGATCATTAAAACCTCACTAGCATCAAACTGAAATAATCTGTTGAAACCAGAGGCACTGCCATTTCTCGTTCCTTCTTTTCTTTTTCTTTGGAGGTGCGTTTCCGAGATGGGTGTTTGGGCAGCCATCTTGTCCGGTCAGCAACCCACTGTTGGTTTGTTGACTTTGTACAGATGAAATGATGGCGGATCGACCCGGGGGTTCGAACCACTGCGTCACGACCGCGCTGGACCAAGTCCAACGCCCTGCCTTCCTTTCCTTACTCCTTCCCCCCCGTTCGCTCTTTCACTCTTTCACTCATCCGTACTACCCCGAGTATCGGTCTGCGGTCGAACACCCCGTGCCGAAGTCAACGGCCATAGGCCGGGCCGGGCGTGCGGAGGGAGGGAATAAGGAAAAAAAATTCCGTGATGTCACGGAAGGATTCCGCCGGGGCTGCTCTTTGTTATTTCACGATTTTTCTGGGGGACCCAGAAACAATGAATTACAAACCGGTTGTCGCAATGTTGCGGCGTGACGTCGGACCGAGCGCAGCAGAGGCTCCCTCGCAAGTTTCAAGTTGAGGTGGTCAGGTCACGCAACGTGCGTTGAACCCTTTCCACGGCCTCTCCAATGCGCCTGTCTAGTGCACCAGAAATAAGGGAGGACAGTAGGAGAGGGGAGGGGGAGGTAGAGTCCCACAGGATACGGAACAGCCCTAGGACCTCTGCCCCAGGAGCGGCAACTGTAGGACAGACCCGCGGAACCAGTAAGGGATCCCGCCACCAGGCCCAGGGGACTGCGCTGATAAGGGCTCGGCTAATGAACGGACCGAGCGGTACTCACTGGATACCGATAGGAAGCAATCAGTGGGGTCACAAGATGTGGCTTTGAGCGTCGAGTTCCGCGACAGTGTTGACAGCAACTATGGCACTTCGCTCCGAGAGACGTTTACGGGGCTCGCGAGACTCACTGGCGCACTATCCAAGCGACGCAGCAGAGAAACACGGCGCGGATTCGGGCATGCATTCGGGCACCTCGACGTTACCAGGTTGAATGGGAGATCTCATTGGAAACGCGAACATAACGAGGAAACGTGCAATGGGGTTCAGTCCAGTCCATCATCTCCGTATTTTTGAGAGCCATGCTCATGTCCACGGAGTTGATGTCGGTCGTCCTCACGCTCATCGTGCCTAGTTGCCACTAGTTGCTCTGCACGTTGGTGAGCACGTTGATGGCGCTGAACCACTGGCGCAGCATGGCGAGGCAGGACTCGGCGTTGAGGCGGCCCAGGCCCAGGATGACGATGCCCGCCCTGCCCGACGCGGCGTGCATCAGCTGCTGCCGGATGCGCCGTGACTTGACGTCCTCCTCGGGCCACGGCCCCTCGTACAGCCGGCCCACCAGCATGCCGCTCGCGTTCTCCAGGAACTGGCCTGCAAGCAAGCAAAGCGAAGCAGTGGCGCTGCAGCCTGTCCACACCCTCGCGGAGGCGGTCAAAGACGCGTTTTGAGCTCCAGAGTCGCTAAATGGGACTCGAACCGAACGTGCGACCCCACCAATGGATTGCTCTCCGAACGAGGAATCCATTGGTGGGGTCACACGCTCGGTTCGAGTCCTTTTTAGCGACTCTGGAGCTCGAAACGCGTGTAGGGTTTTGGCCGCCTCGCCGGCCTTCTGCCTCGCCGTCGCGGACCTCGGCCGCGACTCACCCGTGAAGCACAGGGGCACGAACAGGTTGGCCACGAGGCGGAACACGGCGTTGAAGATCTTGGCGGGCGTGGCGGTGCGCATGGTGACCACCAGCTCGACGGTGACGACGAGCGGCAGGAGGAAGGCGGCGCCCACGACGTGCAGCAGCGGCGTGCGGTAGGCCAGGCGCATGCGCGCGGCGCCGCCCTGCAGCAGCGCGTGCTGCTCGGCCACCTCGCGGAGCAGGGCCTCGCCGCGCGCGCCGCCGCCGACCTGGGCCAGGGCGCGGTACAGCACGCCGCACGAGCCGAACAGGATGTAGGGCAGCGCCAGCATGGCGTAGTACGCCACCACGGCCACCACCAGCACCGCCATCTGAGGACCAACGCGGCGACGCTCGCTCTATGTTCGGTGTTGCCGTCTCACAGTGGATTTGCCAGAAGACCGGTGCAGGTGGTCAAAACTGTAGACGCGTTTTGGGCTCCAGAGTCGCTACACAGGACTCGAACCGAACGTGTGACCCCACCAATAGATTGCTCGTTCGGAGAGTAATCCATTGGTGGGGTCACACGTTCCGTTTGAGCCCCATTTGGTGACTCTGGCGCTCCAAACGTCTAGAGTTTCGTCCGCCCCTTCTGGCCACTGGGCTGCCGACGCCCACCTCCTCCGCCAGCAGCACGTCGTTGCTGGTGTAGGCCCAGCGCGCGCCGTGGCTGCGGAACCAGGCCGTGACGGTGGAGCGCTTCTGCGACGACACGATGGTGAAGGTGCCGAAGCCGAGGTGCAGGCAGGCCGCCCCCGAGTGGAAGCGCGCCACGCGACGCAGCACCTTGGCCGCGCGCGCCAGCATGGCCTGGAAAGCCGCGGGAAAGCCCTCAGTGTCCTGCGTCGGAATCGACGAGTCCTCTCTCTCTTCCTCCCATTGAAAAGTCTGCTGTGGCTGGCACCTTGGTCGCCGCGTCGCCGCGCCACTCCACGTACTCCGCCACCTTGACGATGCTGGCCAGCGCCTGGCTGCACTCGGTCGACGACGACGCGAAGAAGACGACACTCCACATGGCGGCGTACAGCGACGCGATGTGGAGCAGCGGCGTCTGGCGGCCCGACAGTGTGGCGTTGAGGGCCGCGTCCACCACACTGCGCGCCAGGAAGATGGAGTAGGCCGGCAGCAGCCACTGCGCAGTGTGGGCACGCCCGGTGAGACACTCACACGCACCGCACAGTGGGCCAGAAGACCGGTGGAGGCGGCCGAAATGCTGGACGCGTTTTGAGCTCCAGAGTCGCTAAATGGGACTCGAACCGAGCGTGTGACCCCACCAATGGATTGCTCTCCGAACGAGGAATCCATTGGTGGGGTCACACGTTCGGTTCGGGTCCTGTTTAGCGACTCTGGAGCTCGAAACGCGTCCAGTGTTTTGGTCGCCTCCACTGTGCACCGCCAAACACCGCACGGCGCGGCACGGCGTTCCAAGAAGTACCTGGGCGCTGCGGATGTTGATGACCAGGCGCCGCCACCTCGGCAGTGTAGTCGACCGCTCCAGGTCCAACTGCCATTGGTGGAGGAGGCGGCTCAGCTGGCCTTCCATCGCCTTGTCCTTTGGGGTGACGAGTCAGGTTAGTTGAGGTTCAAAGTGCGACACAAAGTGAAGCCACTCTCGCGGGGGTCGGGTTTCGATGTTTGCTGGCTGGACTATGACTGTGAGCGTGGCTATCGTCGCGCAGCGGGAACCCCGACGAGCTAGGAACTAGGGGAGCTGAAATTTGGCGTGCAGCGCGTGGAGGGCATTAACATATTTAATGACGTCACAACAATTCAGCCCTATTGGCCAAACCGCAAGGGAGGGGCAGGGGGGACAGGGACAGACAGACAGCAGACGGACAAAACACACACACAAAACACACACAGTCTAAAGCTCCTACACTAGTAATTGGCCCCGCGCGGTCAACAAATGCTTCGCCAGACGGACAGCGTGGGATAGCGACACTTTTGAACAGTACAGTCGGCTACTTTGTCACCGTAGCCATAGTGAATCACAGTGAATGTCGGTAAAAATTTTGTACATGGTCTACCACAATAAATTTTGAGCATGTGAAAAATTCCGTAAAAAAAAAAACGCGTGTGACAGATTAACTTGTACGCGCAGCGCGCATGCGCCAAAGTGGGTGGGGACTTGGTGGAAAGTTTGTTATTGTTCTCAGTGACTGTTGTGCGCGCGAGTTAGAGAAACCCCGAGCAACTCAAGTGACACGCGTGCCGCCGCCTCACCTGCGGCTTGCCCATTGCCTGTTGCCTTGCCGCTCCACTGCAGGACGTGCAGGACGCACAGGACGCGCAGGACTGCGTGGCGCTGCTCGCGCTTCCGCACTCAAACATTCACGGCGCGCTCGCCACGCGGCACGCTTCCTTCATTATGTAGCGCTCGGCGTGCTCACGCGACACTCGGGGCACGCACGCCGCACGGCCGCGCGGACTCGGCGGTGACCTGAGCGCACGGCGGCGACGGCGGAGAGGCAGACCGCGGCGGCGAGGCGAGGGCTGCAGGCACGCAGCCACGACTCGAGGGGTTAGAGAGGAGAGGCCGACCAGGGGTGTGCAGGCTTGCAGGCTTTGTGAGGTTAGGTTGGGTTAGGATTGTACATGTCACGTCGCCCAAACTGGTGTGGAAGTTTGTGATTGTCAGCACGCAGCTTATTGCACACGGGGTGCCAAAGGAGACAAAAACAAGTTGTCTCATGCGTTTTGTTCATTTGTTTAAGTATCATTTGCGACTGGTTTTCGCCGCAAGTTGCTGGTAACGCGCCATGGAGGGCAAAAGATGCAAACTTTCCGTGTCAGTGTGTCAGTCGCACTGTTTTCATTAAGAGTGTAGGGTCAAGTACATGGGGTGACTGGTGCTGTGGAAGCGCAGGACCCTTGGGACGATCCATGCACTCTAAACAGCTTTCTTTGAAAAATTTATTTTTTTTTCAACAAAATATAGCTAGTTTAAGAAAATAATTTCTTTATCCGCATATCAACCGAGACATCGACCCAAAACTTTTCTTTGTTTTCTTTGTCCACAAATCACTGCTCCAGAGCACAAAACCCACTCAACACTTACACGAGATGAACGTAAACAGCATAATTCCATTTGTTCACTTTACGCCTGACGGTTTTCTTTCAATACACGCCCCAAATTTCAGATAAATCATTAAACAATCATACTTTGCCACCATTCTGCTGTCAAACATGTGTTGTGGTTCATCATTGTGGAATAAAACACACCACTTCTTACACGCAAAACCTGTTTTTTTTTGTCGTTGTTGTTGCTTTTTTGTTTATGCTGGTTCACGGTTGGGCCAGTTTTCTTCGTCAGGACAGTGACCAGACCCTCGGTACAGTCACCTTTCTGGGCCTCGCTCGTCCGTCCCGTTGAGGAATGTCTGTTCTATGGCGCGACCTCGCGCGATTTTATGTGACCACGTGCAGTTTGTCCACAGGTAACGGTCACAATCGACGAACAACTGTGTTCGTTGTCACATCGTGGAGGAGGCCGTCGCGGTGGCGGTCGTATCCTGGACACCCTCAGGATCTTCAGGATCCTCAGGGTCCTCAGGATCGTCAGGATCTCCAGGACCCTCAGGATGTCCAGGACCCTCAAGATCCTCAGGATCCCCAGCACCCTGAGGACCCTCAGGACCCTCAAGATCCTCAGGATCCCCAGGACCCTGAGGATCCTCAGGACCCTCAGAATCCTCAGGACCATCAGGATCCCCAGGAATCCCAGGTCCCTCAAGACTCCCAGGACCCTGAGGCCCCTCAGGCCACGGTGACGTTGCCGAAGGCCACGATGATGTCGTTGAGCGCGACGTAGGAGCCCCAGCCGCAGCCCAGGACGCCGACGGCGAGCGTGGCGGCGTTGGCGAGGTGGCGCCACACGGGCAGGCCGCGCCGCCAGCGGCACGCCCAGTCCAGCAGCGGCGGGAAGATGAGCGCCAGCAGCGTGGACGACACGGACCCCATCAGCGAGATGAAGAGGCCGAGGCGCGGGATGGACTCCGCCAGCAGGACTGCAGACAGTTTCCAATATGAGCGCGTTTGCGCGGCAATGGTCACCGTTCGTTGCAGAGCGACGTACAGGTGAACAGCACGAGCCCCGACCGGAAGGCCAGCTCCGCCGCCACGGGGTGCTTGAGGGGCCGGAAGCGCCTCTCCACGTGCGGCCAGAGGATCTCCACCGGGACGTAGGCCTGGATCGGGTACGACAGCAGGATGCCCACGCAGATGACGACCACCACGACCTGGCAGAGGCTGCGGGACGGTCCAAAAAGCGGTCCATAAAGGTAACATCCTCGCTAACGGTGAGTTCGCAAAATTCAGAAAACAATATTTTGCCAACCCAAGTGACACCATCGTCAAAAGAGGATGCTGAAGTTACATATTTCTTCGAAATACTGAGCAAGTGGGTGGCGTTGGGGAACAATCCCGTGAAGGTGCTCACATGTCCGTCTGCTCGAAGTTGAGGGGGATGAGGGCGCGGATGTCCTCGCCGTACTTGGCGTAGCTGACGCAGCCGATGACGGCGATCTGGGCCGTGATGAAGGCCGAGGACACGTTGAGCACGCCCAGCGGCCGCGAGAAGTCCTCGGGGTGGCGCATCTCGTTGCGCAGCGGCATCGTCTGCACCATTCGCACCACAAAGTCGCATAGATGCCAGGACAATTGGAAAAGTTCATCATTCCATGAAAGGTCCCGGACGCGTTTTGAGCTCCAGAGTCGGTAAATGGGACTCGAACCGAACGTGTGATCCCATCAATGGATTGCTCTCCGAACGAGGAATCCATTGGTGGGGTCACACGTTCGGCTCGAGTCCTATTTACCGACTCTGGACCTCAAAACGCGTCCTGGATTTTGACCGCCTCCGCCGGTCTTCTGGCCCCCACCTCTGCACAGTGGGTCACACCGTCAGACTCGAGACTCACCATGGCTATCGCCTCGAAGCAGTAGAGCGCCGTGCCGAAGAAGAGCGGCAGTCGGCTCCACTCCGCGGCCAGGGTGCGTTCCGACAGCTCGGGGAAGCCGTCACGGCTGCAGATGTACAGGGTGACGAGGACGCCTGCCGCGTGTCACCAAGTGCGTCATTTTTAAGGTTAGGTTAGCTTTTATAGTTAGGCCACAACTCGAATTCAGCGACCCTCCCCTTCAATCCACTCATAAACACTCTCTCTCTCTCTCTCTCTCTCTCTCTCTCTCTCTCTCTCTCTCTCTCTCTCCACACACACACACACACACACACACACACACTAGCAAGCTCAGCAGCAAGACTTTTCCTTGACCAGAAAATCCTTTTCCCCTACAAAGAACCCAACCCAAGCTCGCGAGGGTTGTGGCGGCGGTGACGCACCCGAGTACATGAAGACGTTGGAGACGACGGACACGGGCACCAAGTACTTGAGGGTCCGGACGGAGCACTCCAGCAGGATGGGGGCGAGGCACAGGGCCATGTAGATGTGCACGTCGATGGCCACGATGTATTGGTCCAGGACCTGTCCATGGACAGCAATCGGGGTTTTCCGTTTGGAATGCCAGCAAAATGACAACACTTCCAGATCCCTTTTCACACACACACACACACAAGGACAAACGCGACACAGCATTTTCAATTTAAGAGATTTACCAATATCTTCAAAGGGCACGGGCATTGTCATAAAACAGCTTCTAGGCCAAATTCCTTACAAAATCCCCTTTTATTTTGCATTTAACTGAAGGATCGGTTTCACTCGTGCAGTCAAATCTTGGAATTTTCCGAACACCCTCGACAGAGCCCTGCGGATTTTCGGTCCAGCTGAAGCACGCCCTCTTGCCTGTTTCATGTTGGAGGCGATGAAGACGAAGTACACTGTGCAGAAGCCGAGCTGGGTGAGGACGAGGCAGGCGTTGACGGCCTTGCGCGCGGTCACTGCCCAGCGAGGGAACGCCCCCGGGCCGGCCTCGAAGCTGTACTGCGTGGTGGCCGCGAAGTCGGGGTGCACGGGCAGCCGCAGTCGCTCGGCCGCCACCGCCGACGCGTGCATCTGCAGCCAAACCGGGCCAAACTGTCAATTTGGTTCTCAACCCACGAAACAAATTAAAACTTGTAAATTTTTTATTAGTTTTTCAGTAAGTTTTGTTAAATTTTAAAAATTGAGTTAAATTTGACTAAATTTAAGTATTTTTAGTTAATTTTCATTTGCAAAACAAGCGAAAACAAGTCACTGTCGAATCTGGAACCAGTGTGTCAAAACTTAATTTCGGGCACCTCGCGTCACACTTGACAAGAAACTGAAGCGCTGCATGCCTGTCTAGCGCCTGTGAAGGTGCGGGTAGGCAAGCCCGCCGCACACACCCGTGCTCTTGGCCTAGGGTTGCCTACCCGCTCCTCGTCAGGCGCGCTGCCCGGAGCTTCATGCCGGAGCAAGATGGGTTGCCCGGTCACCAGGCGCGGATGCAGCGAGGACTGTGAGGGGTCCAGTGTGCCGCCCCTGGTGATTGGCTTTACACTGTATCAGACTGTATTTGGTGAGTAACTAGACAGGCTGGGGACATAGTACAAAGAGTCTTAACCTTGCTGTCAAAATTACAATTCGTATCGTAAATTTAGTAAAAAAATGGGCATTTCCTTCACAGACTTCTCCCAAAGAATTTCGCGGGTAATTTTGTTTTCCAGTGTGCTCACCAGTTGGTGCTGCGCGAAGACGCACACCGTGCTCAGGACTGCTAAAAGGGCCGGTCCCAAAATGAGACCGGAGTTTTTGATGGCTTCCCCCATCGCGAAGAAGCCCGCACCCGTATTCGCTTTGACATGGTGGATGAGTGTCTCGATGTATCTGAGCGGGAAAGGAAGCAATTTATTCGTAAATTCGCGACAAAATGAAGAAAGTTTTATCATTCGTAGCAGCAAAGCACGGATGGCGTTGCTGTTGCTTTGGCCAAGCGATTTGAGACTTACGATGTGGGGTGCTTGACAGGAGTCCCAGCGTCTGCTGCGCGGTCATTGCCGTTTCTGGATTCCTGTCTGAAAGGAGCAGTCAGTGAACCGGAGAGCTCCACTTAGCATGTGCGGACCTTACCTTTTGTCGTCCAAATTTGTGGTTTGAAAAAAAAAAAAAAAAAGTTCTGGATAAACACGTGTCATGAAGTACCTTACTAATCCTGGTGGTTTCCTTTCTTGCAGAAGAATCTCTGTTTGTCTTGACTGTTCGTCGTCCGAACGGTCACCGCCATCTTGTGGGGACTTTCTGAAAACAAATCGAATCAACTTTCAAGGAACAGGGCAGAAAAGGAAAAAAGGGCTTTAGCACAGTCAGTACAGTAGTCCTTTCCGAAACAGAAGCACACACAGACACACACACACACACACACACACACACACCTACACGCCACACACACACACACACACACACACACACACACGCACGCACACACACACAGCGGCAGCGTGTCGATTCATTCAGCTGCGATTCATGCGATTGAATCGATTCATTGAGAACATGTTCCTGGAGGCTGGAGGAGGCGACGCCAAGGCGCCGAGGCGCCAAGGCAGTGCGTCAAGGCCTCCTCTCCTCTCCGCCTCCAGAGTCGAAGGTCACCGGGCGTGGCCTGGCCAGGCCTGGCGGGGCCCCCATCAGCAAAGCATCGGCCCGCGCGCTCCGATACTAATTTGCAGCATCACTGATTTCCTGCAGGCTAGTCGGGACAGAGTCGGGATGTAGTCCGGACGCGGACGTCGGATGTGCCTCGTAGATTTTATCTTTCAGTATCGTGTAGGTTTGGGCGTGAAGGACGTCGACAAATTTTCTCGTATGGGGGAACACCACTTTGATACTATATGCCGGATTAGAATAGAAATATCGGAGTTTCTCTCGCGTTTGATGAGGTGAAGAAGTGAGATGGAGATCTTCCAAACGTGACATTTTTCGATTCGGAGCGGTAGCATCTACCAGGTCTTAAAGTCAAATTGCAGCTCTGCAGCAGGTTTTCCTATCAGCGCTTAAAGATAGTATTATCAAGGTTTATTTTGTGTTTTAAATCTGCCAAGTTGCAAAGCATTGCATCAGAAAAGGGGCGGCTAACACGAAATGCTTGTGTTAGTCGTAATCTTGAAAGTTACCGAAAGACCGATCGGGTTTCGTTTTTTAATTGTTCATTTTTTTGGCGGAGGGGGGGGGGCGAGTTCATTTCAGGAACGGAAGGATGTGAAACACATCATCCATCACGAAGGTTTAAGGTGTCGGTTTGACTAGGGCTTGAACCTGCTACTCGTTGAAACTCTCTCCGCCCCTCTCTCCCAAATGACGGTGCCTCGACAAACAGACTCATCTTATCACGGTAACCTTGTTCGTCTAGCTTTTTACAAGGCCCCGCACGATGCTGCGTTGAGGTAAGCTAAGAACAACGAACCACGGGAAAAAATGGACTTAGTGTCAGAAACTTTACGAAATCAAGTGAGGAGAATGCTCACCCTGACAAAGAGATTCCTCACCATTCCTCTTCAGCCGTTTCCTCTTTCAAGATCATTACGATGGATAAAAGCATTTGTTTTCACCCGCCCCTTTTCTGATGCAATGAGTAGTAACTTGGCAGATTAAAAACACAAAATAACCCTTGATATTATTATATTGAAGCGTGCATAGGAAAACCTGTCGCACACGCATTGGGGTCCATTCATTGTACCACTGTAACCATTGTACCATTCATTCAGCAAAGTGGAATTAGCGGTGCATGAGCTGGTGAAAGGTGAAAGGGAACGACATTGACTCGCTGTACTCGAAATGGTGACCGCCACTGGAATTTCCACTGTGCACTCACCAATTTATTCGCTAACTTGTAATCTCTCTAGGACAGCTGCAGGACAGTCCATGACCGTCTAACTCACCGTGGCATGGCTGTTGACGCGCGCGGCCGGCACGGCAGGCACGGCCACCAGGAGTGTTGGGAGAGGCGCTCTGGTTCACTGTCTAGTTCACTGTGGCGGCGCGAGCGCCGGATCGCAGTCCTGGTCTTGGCGCGCTTCGCGCTTCGCGCCAGCCGCACGCCGCACCCAGCCTGCACTAGCGGGCTAGCGTGGTGGGGGAGGATAGCACGAGCCATCTCGTATCCTTCCTCTTACACACACCTCACACATTAAAAAAAAGTCTCCAGTAGCTGTGAACCCGGGTGTCAGTTTGGGGTTTCTGTGAACGATGGGTTGCCTACTCACGCGGCGCACTCTCAACGAATTTCAGTTTTTCGACAGAAAAACAACTTATAGCGCCGGAATGGCCCTCGAAATAGCGTCAGGGGTCTTGACGGAGTGATCCAGCATAGCACACTCAAATTTGGGCCATTTCAAATTTTTTGCCTAAAACGTAAAAAAAACCATACCTTTAGCTTTTTTTTTGACAAAATAGGTTGACCTCCTCCGATTTGTCTAAGATTCGCATGGAACCCTCTTATGGGTCTAAGAAACAGATGCCCGGTGCCCAATGGTCTCTGGCGCATTCTATTGGGTGTGAAAATGACTTTTCCTGTGACAAGTAGAGTAGCAGAAGCTGTGAACGAAGGGTTGCCTACCTAAGCGGCGCATCCTCAAAGCATTCCACTTTTTCGACTGAAAAATGACGTTTAGGGCCGAAATGGCTCTAGAAATAGTGTCAGGGGTCTTGACGGAGTGCTCCAGCACAACATACCCAAATTAGGGCCATTTTAAATTTTTTGCCCAAAACGTGAAAAAACCATGATGTATAGCCTTAGCTTTTTTTCGACGAAAATGGTCGGCCACCTCCGAAATGTCTGAAATTCACATGGAATCCTTCTATGGGTCTAAGAAACAGATTCCCGGTGCCCAATGGTCTCTGACGCATTCTATTGGGTGTGAAAATGACTTTTCCCATGACTGTAATGGAGTTGCAGAAGCTGTGACCGATGGGTTGCCTACCTTAGCGGCGCATCCTCAAAGCATTTCTGTGTCAGTTTTTGGACAGGTTGTGATTGTTCAAAGGAATCAAACTGTACTGAGATTTACTTTTGAATTGCGCCTGTTTTGTTTGTTCTACTATAGCACTTGCAATCTGAGAGGGTATTTGATTGGTTTGCACATTTCTTCAATTCAGTCTGTAATTAACTTTGTACTGTGTATGTGAAATGAACAGGGAAGAATAAATGTGAGATTTCTCATGATTAAATTTCCATAGAATAAAGATTTACTTATTAATACATGCCTCCTAACACATACATAGTAAAAAAAAAGAAAAAAAAATCAGCTTTAAATACAACTTGTACTTTTAATGTACACAACTTATTTTGACTTGCTAACGACCATCACAATCAAACGACTTCAAGCGCTCATTCACTTCATTCGTAGGAAAAAAATGACTCAACTGAACGTAAACAAAAAGACGTTAGTACTTTTTAAAAGCCATAGCACTGGTATTATGCTGGGGATAAGACACTACTGGCTACTACTTCCCCATGAGATCAGATAACAAAATGATAAAAACAGGAAAAAAAAACATTAAACCTTATAATTAAAACAGACAGTATTTTCTAACTTCAATATGGCTTTGGTTACACAGAAAGCTTTGACAACAAAAATTTACAACTCAATCAAATAAATTGCATGTTTGAATATAATACAGATGAAATGACAGGTATGATTTGATGGAACATTATTTACAAAAGAAATGAAAGCTAGCAGAGACATCTAATGTAAGCACACATATTGGCACTTCATTCAATTCACTACTTAAAATCAATTACAACATAAATAAATAATTTTGACAGATTGATACAACTTGAAGATTCTTATGTACAACTACATATACAAAGTTTTATTTGATAAGGAGAGAAAGTAAATGGAATAATGAAATGTACACAGCAGATAAACACAAATATGCCATTTCTGGTAACAATAAGGTTGAGATACCACAAATGAAAGAAAATAGACATCAATGGGACTTGCCCAATTAAATACAATGAATACTAACAAACTGACCTTAGGTCAGAGTACAACACAGAACAACATAAACAAGAGATAAAAAGTGAGATCATTAACCTTATCTCCAGACAGATACTGGGAACATCAGCTAACGGAATGGATAGATGTGGCACCCTTTGAATGCTTAGCCTGGCTAGCATTGGGCAGCACACCTCTCCCTTCACCTCAGGGAAAAACATAACAAATAAATAATACAACATTGTCTCCATCTAAGGTACATACTCACATGCAAAGCCTAGGACAGGTCACACAGAATCTAATTTCAACGAATTTAAAATATTTTATGATAAAATTGAATACCTAACAACAATAATAGATCTGAGAACGCACGCACGCAAATACAATTTTTTATGACTCTGGTTCCTTCTTTACAGTGACATCTCCATTGGTAGTAGCCTCATCTTTACTATTTTTGTCCTCATCTTTATTTTCTTTATCTTTATCTTTGTCCTTTTCCTTCTCTTTGTCTTTTTCCTGTTTCACAGGAGGCACGTAGAAAGGTAGTTCGTATCCTTCAGGCTCAATCATGAGGCCTGCCACATTGCTGAGCACAGAAAGCGAATCCTTTACTGCGTGGTAAATAATATTCTTGATCTGAAGTTTATCTTCATGAGGCGTGTTGGGATCAGACAAGGTGCGAAGCTCTTCAGTAAGATGAAAGGAATGATAGACGTTTTCAGGTGACACAAAGTCCTCAGCAACCTTGATGCAGTTGTGTAGATTTCGAACCTGAAAAATACAAGAGTAAAGAGTTATATACTGCGCTCAAAGTTAGATGTGAGAATGTTGACAGTAATGAAGGCTGAGCAGTATGTCGAACACACCTGATGCGGTGCCCCTGCAGGTACAAAGACAGCGTCTCCAAGGCACTGTACAATGGCATAGCCTTCCACTTGGTACTCCTTGTAGAGACGCTCGCGCAATGGGCCGTCCAGATACCAGCTCTGGTCATGAACAGGGTCATGGTGGATGGAGACAGGTTGCCCTCGCTCCATGGCCACTTTGTTGAGGAGATCCCTGATTTTATCGGCATCTCGAGGGTTGTAGATGTGCCACAGAGCACCTGGTAGTTCACCTCGCTCTCGTACTCTTCTTCGAGTGAGGATGTCACAGCCAGCCTCATCAATAGCACGGTAGGCCTCTGCCAAGAAAGACAGCAAAGTTAGGATACGGTATGAAACATAAAGGAAACTAATAGTAACTTTGAGTCGAAAACACATACCTTTTACATATTCATCGCTGTCAATGTCCTTAGGAATTCCGACGTAAACCATCACATTTACAGCATCCGACACATCAAGGTGTAAGTTGGTTGTTCCCTTGTTGGAGACAGCAGCTGAGCCATATGCTGAGTACATTTTCGGACCCAGATCTGGCCGCACAAAGCAATCAGGTAATCTTGTTGCAAGGTTCAGCCGTCCAGTGCGGTGGGTGTATTCAGAGAGTGGAAGAACCCCCATCAAGTCTGAAAAACGTGTTGGCATATGCTCGGCAAAGTCTTCTCCTAAGAGTCAAACAAAATGCAAAATAAAAATAAATAAAAGAACAAAAAAGAATAAAATAAAAAGAAGCAGCAACAAATGTCTAATTAAGTTCAACAGGTTAAGGTACACACCTGCCGGCCAGTCTTTAAGTTTCAACAGCATCGGATTGCCCTTTTCATCCTTGAGCCGCTTGCTGGTTTGCTCAAAGCCCTCCCAAAACTTCTTCATGGGTTGGTTAGGAACCACAATGCCAGTCAGGCAGTTAACGAGATCATTTCTTTCATCACCAAAGTCATGATTGAATGAGTCGGGATGCCAGAGATTCATATCCAGCATCTTTGAAACATCACTAACTATCACAGGTTGTCCCCGTCTCCATTGATCCTGAAATCAGAACAATGCAGTTGTAATTTTTCATTTGCAATACAAAGAATACTGAATCAAAACTTTGTAAAGGATACTACATACCTGGAATATGCGGTAATTTGAGGGATTCAATGGATCCGTAAGTCTCAGGAGTTTTCCATCACAAAGCCATATGTGTTTCACCTCTGGATATAAGGCTTGACTATCAGTAAGGGTCATTATTCTTAAAGGTAGGTCGGTTCTAATCAGTCCTTCTTTATAACGACGAATGAAGTGCCTCAACTCATTTAGCCCAGACGGTCCAGCTCCGGTTCCAACCTCCTTAGGTCCCTCTTCCTTAGGTGCTACTTGGTTTGAGATCACCTGAAACAAAGACAACCCATGATAAAAATTTTCAAAAAGATCATGTTCTTACACAGGGTAACAGCTTACGATGTAAATAACAAGGATGTAACAAATTTAATGAACAATGCGGTATGCAGAACTTACATCTTTCTCAGACTTATTATCATTCCCTTGCAGAGCTAGGTCAGCAAGCCAGTTGAGAGGTGAGTTCTTGCTTTCATCTGTCTTGCACCCATTCTGTTCAGTTTTGACAATGCCGTTGACAGGCTTCGACTCAGTTAAGACCCGTAGTAAGTCCTAAAAATCGGAAGCACAAAGTAAGCACCCATTCCATACCATGAAGCAACTCAATATGATGTATTCATAGAAGAAAACTTACCTTATTTAATCCATTGGTTGGCTTGACAAAACTGAACGGACATCCGCAGTTCTGGGGAATTCCAAAGAGAGCACGCACTTGGTGCACTCGTTTGGCAAGTTTCATCATTGTATCGGAGGCTATAATTTGAGTAAGCATGAGCTTTGACTGTTCATGAGCTTGTCTATTTGTGCAGAACAGCCATCCTCTAAAATCTCTCTCCTTGTCGCTTCCAGTTTCAGACATTAATTCTGGATCTACAGGAACAGTACACTGCAAGGAAAGAGAAAAAACCGACAGTTTAAGCATCATAATCATCAACAGACTAAACCATGGAACGAAATACGAGTGAAGGGAACGAGCCTCACCTTATAACAATCCAAACAAACAACAAAGCCACACTTGGCACAGGCCCAATGGTAATTAAACAGCGTCGTCTCGCATACATCGCACATCTCCCGAACGCCTTGCACCACGCGTTTCCACGCGATTTTGCCGGCTGGAAGAGAGAAGAAACAGACCAGATTAGACATTGCTCGGATCTTAGGGAAGCGGAGGCTGAGAGGTGCAGGCTGACTACTTACCGTCCCCGACGTGCATGCTTTGTGCCTCTGCTTCTTCCATAAGTAAATCACAGAATTGATCACCAATCTGGGTGAGGAGGAAACGCGACATTTCCACATCCAACCCACCCGGTGGGGTCTCCGGCTGCGCGACCCACAGCCTGAGATCATCCTGCAGAGCACAACGAGCAAAACATGAGCACGTGTATTTAGAGAACACATCACCGGACGGGGCGACGAGACAGCGGCACGTCAACTCACCTCTGAACAGTCTTTGAAGGGGTTCGAGAACCCCGCTATGGCGAGCTGGCCGTTCTTGGTGAAGCGCAGCTTGCGGAAGGCGTAGAAGCGACAGAAGATGTTGGGCATGTTCTTGGACCGCTGGTGCGGGGTCCACCGGCACTCGCGGCACTTGGCCAGCTTGGGCGCCACCTCGAAGCACGCGCCGTCCTGAAGAAAAGACTCGCCGGTCCGCTTCAGTTGCGAGACCGGCGGCTTCTTAAAAAAAGGCTCCCGTGCGCGCTTCGTTTTGCCACCCTCATCTTCCCCGTTTTTTGACTTGGGGCGTCGGCCGCGCTTGCGGCCCTTGGCGCTGGCGGCGCTGGCGCCCTGGTTCGAGTCCCCCGACTGCGCGCCCTTCTTGGTGCTGGCGCTGGTGCTGGTGGTCGTGTTGCTGGCGCCGCTGTCGCTGTCCTTCTCCGTGCCGGACTCCTTGTCGGACTCGGAGCCGCTCTCGGAGTAGGAGCGGACGGTGGCCGTCTTGCGCGCGTGCCGCCGGTTGGCCGCGGCGCTCTTGCGTCCCTTCTTCGGGGTGCGCCTCGGCGGCGGCGACGCCTTCACTTCGGCCTCCGAGCTCGACGAGTGTGCCAGGCCGGGCGGGCCGTCAGGTCCGTGCCCGTTGGCTAAACCGCCCAGCGCGGCCGCGGCCCCGGCCAACCCCGCGGCCAACCCCCCGGACCCGGCGTCCGTTCTTGACGCCTTCCGGGGGGCCTTGGCGTTTGGGTGGGCCTTGTCCTTGTCGGCCTTCTCGTCCTCCTTCTTGTCCTTCTTCTCCTTGGTGCCGCGGTTGATGCTGTTGACGGCCATGGAGCCGATGGGGATGGCGGACACGGGCCTGGTGGCGGGGGGCTGCGCCGGCGTGGCAGTCGCGGCGGCGGTGGTGGCGGGCGTGGGGGTCTTGTTGAGGGGGATGGGGAGCGTGACGCAGCTGCCGCTGCCGACGGTGCCGCTCGTGTCTTCGGCGTCCTCGCCGGAGTGGCGCTGCAGCCACGCCTTCTTCAGCTTGTGCACGCCGCCAGAGGGCGCGGGGGCGGGCGCAGGGGCGGGCGTTGGGGTGGCTGGCTTGAGCGGTGAGGGGGCGGGCGGCGGGGGCGTGGCGGCGGGGGCGGGGGACGCGGTGGCGGGGGGCGGCGTGGGCGATGCGGTGGGCGCGACGTCTCTCAGGGCGGGTGAAAGCACAGGCATGGGCGCGGGCGGGAAGGACGAGGGGCTGGCGCGGCCGGCTGACGGCGGCCTCATCGGACTAGCAGGGGGCGCCCCGAGAGACTGAAAAGGGAGTGGCGACGGCAGAGGTGAAGGTGAAACACTAGGAGCACTGGTAACACTAGCCGCGGGAGGGCCTGCGGGAGGCGCTCCTGGTCCAGGACTGGGTCCAGGACCGGGTCCGGGTCCATGTCCCGGCCCAGGCCCGGGCCCCGTGGACGGCACCCTGATGGGCACGGGCACAGGCACTGGTGGTGGGCTGCGCGTCGTCAGCAACGTGGTGGGCGCGTTGCACTGCAGCGGGTTCGGGCTGTGGCGGTGGCCGCCGGGCAGCGGGCTGGCGCGCGGGCTGTGCTGCGGCTGCATGTGCTGCGGCTGCAGGTGGAGTCCCTGCGCTTGGTGCTGTGCCTGCTGCGCTTGCTGCAGCGGGCTCATCCTGGACGGACTGGCCCGAGTGTGGCCCGGGCTGACGGGACTGGCCCTGGGGTTGCTGGGCGGGCTCATGGGGCTGACGCGGTGCTGCGCCGGCGGCGCCAGCGCCGCCATGGCGCCCACCGCAGGGTGCTGCATGGGCTGGCCCAGGAAGTGCGGCACGCCGAGGCCGTGGCCGAGGCCGTGGCCCAGCATGACGCTCTGGAGGTGGTGCGGCTGCAGGTGCTGCTGGTGCTGCAGCGGCAGCGGGTGCTGCGCGGCCACGCCGTGCGGAGGGTGCGGTGGCAGCAGCGCCGGGTGGTCCAGACGGGGTTTCTTGTTGTCCGCCACCGGCGGCTGGAACGGACTCCGCCGCTTGTTGGGCGAGCTGGGCGGCTGGCTGTGGCTCTTGTCCGACACCAGGTCCAGCGGCTGCGTCTGCACCTGCAGCGGTGACGCGGACGCCGACGACCGCGGGCTGGGCGCGGGCATGGGCAGTCCGGGCGACTGTCCGGGCGTGGAGGCGCCGTGGTGCGGCGTGGGCGGCTTGTGCGCGGGCTGCGACGAGTGCGGGTGGCTGTACTGCGCCGCCTTGTCCGCGGGGATGAAAGCCCTGGGCTCGGACAGCGGCACCGGGAGGGGCTGGTACGGTGACTGCGGCAAGGTGGGCGCCTTGGTGGTGAGCGCGATGGGCTTGGTGTCGCTGGGGCTGGCCGGCCGGCCCATCGCGCCGGGCTCCACGGGCTTGTGCGGCTTGCCGTAGAACGTGGAGGGCGCCGGGCTGGTGGTGGTCTTGTGCCGCGAAATGGGCGCCGGCGACGTGTTGTAGCCCGGCAGGTTCTGGAGCCCAGCCTGCTGCGGCTGCTGCAGGAACGACGTGACGGAGTACGCCGGCCCCGACACGCCGCTCTGCTTGCTGGAGAAGCCGCGCGGTAGCGGCGGCAGCTGCGACAGCGGCTCGGAGGCCTGGCCGGGTTGCCGCCCCGCGGACCCTGACGACAAGGAGGGCGCCGACAGGGGCGAGGCGTGGGGGTGGTTGCCGCCGTGGGCGGCGGGGGAGGGCTGACTAGAAGGCGCGGGTGCCGGCACCCGGTAGGGCAGGGGCGAGCTGGCCGGCGGCCGGGGGCTCTTGGCTTCGTTCTTGACGATGACTGTACCGGCCTTGCTGTCGGCCACCATGCCGTGCTGCTGCTGCTGCTGCCGCTTGGCCGCCAGGGCGTGGTGGTCGTGTAGGCTGAAGCCGGCCGGCGGCAGGTAGTTGGTGCTGTAGCCATACATGGAGAAGTTGGGCTCGGCCTTGGGGAGCCCGGGCAGCATGCCGGGCAGGCCTTGCGGCAGGCTGTGGTGGGCCAGCGAGTGTGGGTGGGCTCCGTGGAGCGCCGACGGACTAGGGGCAGAACCTGGGCCCGACCCCGGGCCGGGGGACGGCCCTTGGCTGGAGGCGCTGGAGGCGGGGCCCGGAGACGCGCGGGGCGGCGCGCCGGACGACGCCGGCTTGCTCTCGTTCTTGACGTCCAGCCGGCCGTGGCCGGGCAGCGTCGTCGCCGCGATGGGCGACCTTCCTCCAGGAGATCTCCTCGGCACCTGCAACGACGCACATGTAGATTTAGACTCCACGAAGCGAGACAACAAGGCGCTAGACAGGCCAAAATTGCACACTCTGAGCCAGGGCGAATCCACACGGTGACTCTCCCACGAGTGCGAGAGAGAGAGACAGACAGGGCGGTACCCACCTTGATGGGGGGCTGCGAGTAGAAGGCAGACGGCCGCGGCGCCTGGTTCATGGGCGCCCTCTGCACCTGCGGCTGCACGGGCTGCACTCTCTGCTGCTCGTGCATCCGCTGCTGCTGCTGCTGCTGCTGTTCATGCAGCCGCCGCGTGTCGGCCGCTATCTGCTGCTGCTGCTGCTGGTGCCGATGCTCCAGTATCCGCCGCTGGTCCTCGTGGATGCGCGCCTGCTGCGCCTGGTGGGCCGCCACCAGAGCCTGCTGGTGCATGATGCTCGTGTGCTGGGCCAGCGACAGGGCCGCCTGTTGGTGGGCCGCCTGAGCCTGCGAACAAGGGACGGGCGTTACTCATCGGACACTCCAGTTCCCCGTCGGCCGTCGGCGTGGAGGTGCACTTCCACGTCCTCCAGGAGTTCTGACACTCGTTCGGCACTACTATCGCGAACCGGCCACGGCCGTTCGGTGGCGGTGATGACCCTCACCTGCAGGCTGGCCAAGGACGGGGCGCCGCTGCTGGGGGAGGACGCCGGCCCGGCGCCCTCCCTCTCCTCTCCGGCGGCTCCGGGGCCGCCAGGGCCGCCGGGGCCTCCGGGCGGGGCGCGGTTGCCCAGCGAGCCGATCCAACCGCGCTCCTGAGCATTCTGCGGGCACACGGCGACAAGGGGCGGTTACGACCACAACCAGAGAGAGCCGGTAATAGAACCAAAATAAACGACAAAATGGAGGGAAGGACAATAACAAAAAATTAATCGAAATGAAAGTGAAAGGGGTCGGGGAGAAACAAAAACAAAATCCAAAAACATCGAAAAAAACAGCTGTCGGCTTCCCAGAGCAGACGAAGAAGACGGGTTAGCGTGAAGAAGTTTGAGGCGTTAGGGTCAGCGGAGACGCTGAGACGAACCGGAGAGAAAGGGACTGAGAGAGGAGAGCCGAGGACTGAAGACGAGTAGTTATTGTGAATTTCTTTTGGAAATTTTAAGAGACAAGTGTGACAGGTGGGAGCGGGGCAAAGACAACGCGCGGGCGGCCCACAGTGGGCCAGAAGACCGGCGGAGGCGGCCAAAACTCCAGACGCGTTTTGAGCTCCACAGTCGCTAAGCAGGACTCGAACTGAACGTGTGACCCCACCAATGGATTGGTCTTCGCACGAGGAATCCATTGGTGGGGTCACACGTTCGGTTCGAGTCCCCTTTAGCGACTCTGGAGCTCAAAACGCGTGTTTTGGCCGCCTCCACCGGCCTGCTGGCCCACTGTGCGGCCTGGGTGGCGGTGTGAGCGTGACGGTGTGGTCGGGGGGGACTGGCGGGACGATCGGGACGCACCTGCTGCTGAGCCAACCGCTGCAGCGACTCCTCGAAGTGCTTGTGCACCGCGCGCTCCGCTGCACGCTGGGCCTCTATCCTCTCGCGCTCCTCAGAGGCTTTCCTCTCTAGCTCGCCTTGCCGCCTCTCCGATTCTTCCCGCTCTCGGGTCTCACGTGCCTGCAGTTCGCGAGCCTGCAGATCCCGCTCCCGCTGCTCCCTCTGCTCCCGTGCTCCCGCTGCTCTCTCTGCTCGCGCTGCTGGTCGCGCTGCTGGTCCTTGCGGGCCTTCTCCTCCCGGTCGCGGTGTTCCCTGCAACAGGCAAGGCGCGGGGTCACGGGGCGAACGAACGGCCGGACAGACAGACAGCACTAGGACGACAGGAGGCTGGAAGAAACAAACGCATATTAGACTACAATAATGGGGACACCAAGTTGAGGCAACTTGAGGCGTCATCGGCCTGCCACGGCCAAGGAAATTATCGGAGGACGATCCCTTGTTTCCCTCCTAGATAAGGAGGGATAGCGTGTGCAAACCCGAGACGCCCAGTTTCCCAGAACTTCAAACAACCTTCGGCCAAAAGCTGCAAACAAAAGTCAATCAAACCTTCGGTATACCAAACCAGACCACACAACACGCGGCATGGAAGAAGTAGACCAGCGAGCAGGAATCGCGAACCGTTTCCGAGTGCAAGTGCGGAGCAGAAACGCAGCGATGCGGGCGCTTCTGAGCATGACTGTACCGTGCCTGGCCGTGCCATGAGCCATGACCACCCACACTCGCGCACACACACTCTCACACTCACTCACACGGACGCTGCCGGAACGGAACGCGCGGCGGAGAAGCGAGAACCGGTTTTCATCCTGTCTGCGCGCCCCTCCGCCCCCCTCCCCTCCGGCCATTTATCTCGGCATGCCGCCTCCCCCCTCCCCTCCCGCCCCCGCTCGGCCCAGTTTCCGTGGCAACGAGGAGCATTCAGCGGCACGGCGCGCGGACCGCTCCAGCGGGGCGGGGAGGGGGGGGGGAGGCACCTGCCTCACGACAGTCGATACGCCGGCCCCGCCCCGCCCCGCCCCGCCCCCCCCGCCGCGCCACGTGACGGGCCGGGCGGTGGCGCCGTCTGTCGACCGGGGCCCGCGGCGGATCAAAACACATAATAACACCGGTGACATCCGCCCGCCCCGCCCCGCCCCGCCCCCGCGCCTGCTTCTGGCGCGGACTGTACACCTGCCGAGTGGCGCACTCGGGCGGGGCGGGGCGGGGCTCCACTCGTAGATTAGCGCCGCGAGCGCTTCCTTCTGGGAACGCCGCCAATGACTGTGACTGCACTGCAACGGCGGCGCCGACCTTTTAAATACCCGCGCGATCGCTATCGCCGCCGCACTCGTCGCGTGTACAGTCGCGGACAAAAGCCCCGGCGGCACGCCGCCCAGACGCGTACAGTCCCAGCCAAGAGCGCTGGCCGCACGGGAGGACGACGCCGACGACGCCGCTCCCCGCGTGCAGCGTGCGTGCAGCGTGCGTGCAGCCGGCTGGGCGGGCAGCGACTTGCCGACCGGACTGTACCCACAAACAAACTCGGTCACGCTCACAGTCGGGCGCGCCGCGCCGCCTACGAGAGTCATTCATCCTAGCGATCCCGAGCCGGGCGGAAAATCCCACACGGCCTTTCCGCCCGCCGCGCCCCGCCCCGCCCCGCCCGCCCGCATCGCGCACGCTGCGCGACCTCTGACCCTGGGCCTCGGCGGGCCGCCCGTCGGGCGCTCTGTATTTACCGCACAGACTCACAAACACACACACAAGAAAGCGCCCGCAGTGAGTGATAACCGTTATCTTGCCGCAAATAGATATACTCCTCCCCCTTTCATTCTCGTCCCAAACAGACAAGACAGGCGGACAGACGCGGCCGGCCGCGGGGTTATCTCCGGCGGCGCGGTGTCTTCACCTTCCGCGTCACGCCGCGCCGCGCCGCGCCCGGCAGCAGGATTACCCCGCCGAGCGTCAAACAAACAAAAGCGGGATTCGGAATCAAGGCGGCGGCGGAGCGGCGGAGGCGCGGCAACTGCGGAGAACGGAGGACGCCGCTTCCTGAATCGTGTTTTGCTCGCGGGCTTATCATCGCAGTGTGGGAGCGAACGGCCGAAGCGCGAAAGGCCGCTTGCCGACCAGCCGACCCGACGGCGACTTTGCACCGTGCTGCCACTACACTGTGCAGCAAGGAGAACGACACGGCAGGCTTTGTCTCGGCCGGGCACCGCGTCGTCCTGGCCTCAGCTGACTTCAAGGTCAACCGTCGGAATGAGAGCAGACCCTCGTGGTCCCCGGTGGACCCGGCGGACAACGGGGAGGAGGGAGGGGGTCCTACTTGACGACGTGCACCGCCACGGCCGGCAGCACGGCGGGGCCGGCAGCACGCCAAGAGGCGGCCAATACATTGTCAACACAGCTGGCCGGCCCAAATTTCAGTCCCGAGCGACGACGGGGCCGCCAACCCATAACCCATGTAGCGTGGCACGCGTAGCACCCACGGCATGTAACTTATAGACCAGCACCCGGTACAGTAGAGCCCGGCTGTCGGGATACCCTCGCCAACATCCCACTCGGAAAACGGCCTTTCGCTTTGGCTTCATCAGAGACGTGTGACAAACGTCCGCCAAAAGCCTTAGAACGTCAACACTTAGTCAAGTGTATCTTGAACAGACAGCCAAGGCAACTTACTAACCATTTAGGGCGACATTTTCCGAAAGGGGAGCACACGAGCGCTTCCAGTGACCCTCCAGTGACGTCGCAGTGGGCCCCTCCCCTCTCGACGTGGGGCACTAAAAGCCAGCCATCGCCTCCCAGACCTCCCAGTTTAGACGGCGATTACCTCCTGCAGTACTACACGGCTTTCGGGGCGTGGCGCGGCGGAGTGGCGTCCGCTGCGTCACGGCGTCACGGCACCCGACGGGCCTCGGCCTGCCTCCACCACTGCTTGGCGTGGCGTGGCGTGGCGTGAGGCATGGCGAGGCCGTGCCGGGGAATCTCTAAAGGACTCTCGAGGCCGCGGGTCGTTCACCCAGGCGGCCGTTATGGGGGGCCAGCGGCCACAGCGCCAACCAGCGGCGCGGTAAGCAAGCGCCAAGCCAGGCAATGGGCGTCGTCGGAGGCACACTCTAATGGTGGTTCGCAACTTTGGAGAGAGCTCCGTGCCTTGCGGGCAGCGCGACCGTCACAGCCAAAAGTCCATCGCCGGGCCCCTCGGCCGGACACACTTGGCGGCCGCGCCTTGGCGAGGTTGGGGTCCATTCCGTGCCTCCACTGTCACCGACAAGCGCGGCGATCCGCCCGGCGGCCTGGCCAGTGTGCCTGGCCAATGTGCCTGGCCTGTCTGTCTCGGGGGACTTTCCGCGCCACTGGCAGCCACTGGCCGCGCACCGTCCCTCCCTCAGCGAGGCGGCAGACGCAACCAGAGGAAAGGAACCAAAAGAAACCGGCGCTCCACTGCGAGAGCGACGAGGATGGAGGCAGAGGACGGTCGGACGGGCCGAGAATAACGTGGCCCCCGCCCCGCCCCGCCCCGCCCCTCCCCTCCCCGCTATCAGACTGTCGGCCCGGCCACGCAGTCACGCACCCAGACGGACGTGCAGACAGGCGGGCTGGCGGGCTGGCGCAGGCCGCGCAGGCTGGCGTGCCGTGCCGCCGGTGCCCCCCCCCCCCCCCGATGCGGATTCGAGCCAAGGTCGACGCGGGGTACAGTCCCGGCGGAAAGCACGCTGCGCACTGGCCACGGCGTTGCTACGCGCACTCTCCAGTCTCCGCCACTCGAAAAGTAAGGCGCGGGATTGCGCCGCCAGTGTGGTGTCGGCGACGTGTCGGCGACGCCGAGGGAATGCGGCACTTGCGGCTGCCCCGCCAAGGACGGCCAGGCGGAGACAGCGAAGCACGCCGAGCCTGGACGGGACGGCCAGTCATGCGCGGCTGGAGAGAACGCGCCGCGGAGGCCGCCGTCCTGGAGTCGCTGGAGCGCCTGGAACGACGGCGACCTCGCGCGGCCGGCGTTGCGTAAGCAGTGGCCTGGCGGCGAGCCTGGCGGGAGCCTGGCGGGGAAGCCCTTGGCTGCAGCTCGGACCGGGGTGCGCGGTACAGGCCGCGTGGAAATGCACCGCGCCATGCAAATCCACGCACGCACTCGCGGCGCTGGAGGTTCAAGGCTGGGCCAGGCTGGCGCGCGCGGGAATGGCGATTGCATCCAGGAACGCGCGCAGGATGATAATTAAAGGCTCACGCCGCAGTGACACCCCTCACAGAGCGGGTACACTGCGAGACACAGACACGCGACGGCGTCGGCCGGGACGCGGGAAACCGTTAAAATCGACACGCCGACCGAATCGATCGCACGCCAGCTCCCCGCAGCAACGCGCGTGCACGCTTTTAGTTCAATCATTGTGTTTTTTTTTTTCGCGTGTTCGGAAGGGAAGGGGGACACCGAGCCGGCGGCGCAATGTCGGTGTTGATGTTCGGAGGGTGGCGGAGGGGTGCACGGTACACGGCGAGCCAAGAGTTTGGGCCGCGCCGGCCGCGACCGAAATAAATTGTTAGCACGAACGGGGAAGTTCTGGTGAGTGGGCTGTGACGCCGTCCCCCTCCCCTCCCCCTCGGCATAACGAGGTGGCCGGGCTCGGCGAGGCGCGGCGCGGCGCGGTGGGGGCCGATTGACGGAACGGAAACCTTTCTCGTGATGAAAATAAAACAGGAAAAGGAGACAAACACGCGCTGCTGCGGCGAAGCACGGCCAAGAGACGCTGTTTGCCTCCAACTCCTCCAACGGGCAGATCTCCCCTCCTCCTCCTGGCCTTGACCACCATTACTGTACTGCGGCGCCGCCTAAGGCCAGCCGGGGTCAGTCCAGCCAGCGACAGGCACGCACTCGGCGGCGCGGCGAAGCGCGGCGAACGGAGAAAGAAATGCACTACTTACATACATGCCGGGCGGGGAGTGGTATGGTAATCCAAAGACACAGAGACACACAGACACACACAGAGCACAGGTCACTGTCACAGCACTGCACTGCACTATACACTTCACTACACTGTAATCCAATGGCGCTGGCGCGGCCGGGGGCGGCTGGGTCGGGCCTCTACACTCACCTGGCGAGGCGGTCCGAGTAGGCGTTGAGATCAGGTTGAGCTAAGATGTGCGGGTAGCCGCCGCGGGCCGCCGCCTTCCAGAGGGCCTCCGCGGACATGCCCGCGGCGGCGGCGGCGGCAGCGTGCGAGTAGCCAGGCGGGCGAGGCCGGGGGCGAGGCCGGGGGGCAGCGCCAGCCCGCCGGCAGGGCCGACGGGCCCCACGGGCGGCGCCGCGTGGCTCGAGGGCGGCGGCGGTCCTCCGCGCGCCCCCGACATGAGCAGGTGGTGCTGCATGCTGTGCACGTGGCGGATGTCCACGTGGTGCGAGGCCTGCGCGGGGTCCCTCCACACGCCCCGGCTGGCCTCGGCGCCAGGTAGCGACCGCGGCTGCAGCAGCCCTCCAGGCCCGGGGCCGTGGGCGGCGTGGGCTGGCCCCTGGCCGTGCGGGGGCCCCTGGCCATGAGGGGTCCCCTGGCCGTGCGGGGCCAGCCCGTGCAGTGGCAGCCCCGCCGTGGTGGCTGTGGTGGCGGCCTCGTCGACGCTCGACCGCGACCCGGATCGCTCCTCGCTGCTGCTGCAGCGCAAGGAGCCTACGCCCGAGTCGGACCGGTCGTCCCGGAGGGCTTCCTTGAGGTCCCTGAGGTTGGCGGCCAGGTTGGGCTCCATCCTGGCTGCGCTGTGCAGACTGTGCGCACTGTGACTGTCATCCTCGCTGGGGCACCGCGACGGTCTCACCGGCTCATCGTCCACGTCGTCCTCCGCGTCCACGCGCTGCGGCTGCAGGTCCGGCGGTGTCGACGGCTTGGTCGACGCCGGCGGCTTGCCTGCGGCTGCTTCGGGTTTGGCAGTGTCGGCCGGCGGCTTGGCGGCGTCGTCGTGTTTCGGCGACGGCACCGGCTTCGCTTCCTGGAGGGCCTTGACTGGCTCCGCCGCGACGGGCGTTGCTTTCACGGCTTCCTCCGGCCGAGGGGACGACCTTTCGGGCGCGACGGGGGACTTGGTGTCCTGGACGGCGGCCTGGACGGCAGCCTCTGGCTGAGGCGCTGTCGGGGACGCAGGCTTCGCAGGCTTCTCCTCCTTGACGACGGCTTCCTCGGCCTTCTCGACGGAAGGTGCTTCCTCGGGCCTACTTCTGCTCCTGCTTCGCTTGGCTTTGCGTCCTCCCTCTTTCCTGCTCTTTTTCTTTTTACTCTTCTTTTTCTTCTTCTTTTGTTCCTTGTCTAGCTCCTCGTCGGTGTCGTCACCGTCCTCTTTCTTGACGTCCTGCTTGTCCTCCTCGGCCTCGTTCTCCTTGTCCTCCTTGTCCTTCTTCGCCTCGACGGTCGGGAAGGGCTCGGTGGGCAAGGGCGACGTCGGTATCCGTTCTGGCGACGCTAGCTGCTTGGGGGTGGCGCACCACTCCCGGTCCGAGGGTTCGTCGTCGGATGGAAGCTGCACGTAGAACTCCAAGTCCGTGTCGGAGCCAGAGTCCCGGTCGGCGTCGGCGGCGGGCTTGTCCGCGACGGGGACTGCGGCGACGCGCGGCACGAGCTGCAGCAGCGGCTCGTCGTCCGAATCAGACGACGGGCTCCTGGCGCGGCGGTGCCTGCTGGCGGGGCTGGCGGGGCTGGCGGCGTTCGACGCGGTGCTGCTGAACAGCCGGTCGAGGGCGGCCTGCGCTGCCTGCGCCGCGGCGCGCCCGGAGATGCGGCCGGACGAGCGTTCGCCGCGCCGCGGGGGCGGTCGGGGCGTGCGCGGCGACGGGGTGGGCGCGGCGGAGCGCGGCGGCGGCGACGAGCTCGCCTCGGTCTCCTCGTCGGAGGGCTTGTTGCTGGTGGCGGCGACGGCCGCGTGCCTGCGCGACCGTGGCGACCGAGCGGGCGGCCGCTTGCGGCTAGTGCTGCCGGTGCTGGGGACGTACTCGGAGTCACTGCCCTTCCGGGAGCGCGCCTTGCGACCTGCAACACAAAGAAGAGCACCCCGTCAGACTCGCATGCCAACACACATGACGCGCACGCACACAAACACACACGCGCGCGGCCAAACTGGCGGTCGATAGTTGGCAGTGGGCGCCATCCGGAAGTCAGTATCCGAGCCCTGGCCCCCCTAAGGGCCCCCCGGCCCCGCCTCCCTCCCCGGCCACCCTTTCCAAACACTTTGTCGCAGCCCCGTGGAGCGAGACGGCCGAGGACCCGAGGACGAGGAGAAGCAGCGTGCAGCGAAAGGGGGAGAAAGAGGGAGAACAGGCGGCTGCGCTGTGCTGGGTTGGCTGGGACAAACACGGGGAGGGCGACAGGGCGACCCACACAGCGCGACAGTGGCCCTAACCGTTACTGCCCTCCCCCTCCCCCTTCTTGGTGCCTTGCCAGCCCCTCCCCCTTCCTCCCCTGCCCTTTCAACGGCTTAACAGGAGACTCCAGGTCGGCCGCCAGCCGTGCCTCGGCGCGCGGAGCCGATGCAGACCGAAATGAAAATCGCGATTTCTCGAAAACGGCTTCGCCAAAAAATTTCAAACTTGGTAGAGAGACTTGGAATAGACCGGGCCCGCCCCCGGTGCGGTCAAATCCGGCCCGACATTGCCTGTTTGCCTACTGGCGTGATCGGCTCGAAAAACGAAGACCGCCGTATCTCGGCTCCTGGGTACGATATCGAAAATCGGGCTATGTAGCGTTGTAGTCCAACTCGTTCCATGCCGCCTCTCCAAATTTCAAGCCAAAACCTTGAACGGTTTGGCCATAGTTTACTAAACGCCGAGACGAAAAACGCGACTTTTCGGCGACTGGCGTGGCGAAGGCAGGCCGGAGGCAGGCAAACAGGCCTCATCAAGGGACCGGCCCCCGAAGTGCCCCCGCCACACCTCACCCGCCCCGCCCGCCCTGCACTGCACTGCCAGACTGCCATTGTAATGCGCCCGGCCGTCTGGGGCTCGCGCCTGCCTGGCGGCCGGCGGGGTGCATCCACGCTACCTGCTTTAGCAGTGTCTCCGTCGCACTTGCAGTGACAGACGGCACAGACGAAGAAAGTAGCAGAGGACGTCTGGGATGGCTATGCGGATGCTACCTTTGGCTTCGGCGAGGAGGCGCGGTGCGGTCCCAGCCGATTCCGAGCCAGCCGGCGGCAGGGCAGAAAAGTTCATCAGAAACTGGTTCAAAATGACACGTTTTTCAACATTTGTACCAATATGCGTTTCGAAGCGCGCTGATCAATTCTATACCCATGAAAATGGTTCAATGATTTATTCTCAAAATTGTCCTAGCAACTTCTCGTTTACACCCATCTTCCTAGTTTTTTGAACTGATTCCGCCACTTTCCGTAAAATATCAATTTTCCGAAAATTTCAAAATTTTTCATGCGCACCTAGTCCCTTTTGTTTGGCTTGAATGGGGCTGGGTTGGGATGGGCAGGCGGGGCCACGTGCCTGGCTCCGACCCTCGAGCAGGTATATTGCCATCGCCAAACAAAGGGAACTAGGAGCGCATGTAAAATTTTGACATTTTCGGAAAGTTGATATTTTACGGAAAGTGGCGGAATCAGTTCAAAAAACTAGGAAGATGGGTGTAAACGAGAAGTTGCCAGGACAATTTTGAGAATAAATCATTGAACCATTTTCATGGGTATAGAATTGATCAGCGCGCTTCGAAACGCATATTGGTACAAATGTTGAAAAACGTGTCATTTTGAGCCAGTTTCTGATGAACTTTTCTGCCCTGCCGCCGGCTGGCTCGGAATCGGCTGGGACCGCACCGCGCCTCCTCGCCGGAGCCAAAGGTAGCATCCGCATAGCCATCCCAGACGTCCTCTGCTACTTTCTTCGTCTGTGCCGTCTGTCACTGCAAGTGCGACAGAGACAATGCTAGAGCAGGTAGCGTGGATGCACCCCGGCCGCCAGGCAGGCGCGAGCCCCAGACGGCCGGGCGCATTACAATGGCAGTCTGGCAGTGCAGGGCGGGCGGGGCGGGTGAGGTGGGGCGGGGGCACTTCGGGGGCCGGTCTCTTGATCAGGCCTGTTTGCCTGCCTCCAGCCTGCCTTCGCCACGCCAGTCGCCGAAAAGTCGCGTTTTTCGTCTCGGCGTTTAGTAAACTACGGCCAAACCGTTCAAGGTTTTGACTTGAAATTTGGAGAGGCGGCATGGAACGAGTTGGACTACAACGCTACATAGCCCGATTTTCGATATCGTACCCAGGAGCCGAGATACGGCGGTCTTCGTTTTTCGAGCCGATCACGCCAGTAGGCAAACAGGCAATGTCGGGCCGGATTTGACCGGACCGGGGGCGGGCCCGGTCTATTGCCAGTCTCTCTACCAAGTTTGAAATTTTTTGGCCAAGCCGTTTTTGAGAAATCGCGATTTTCATTTCGGCCTGCATCGGCTCCCCGCGCCGAGGCACGGCCGGCGGCCGACCTGGAGTCTCCTGTTAACAGAATCATGGCTGCGGGGCACCGCTGCGGGGCCGGGGGCGCAGTGCGCCAGGGGCCGCCGAGTACTACCCAGCAGCCCCAGCCTCCAGCCAGGCCAGCGCGGCACCCGTTGCTTTCTGGGTCATCGCAGCAACAACAACGACAAGACCGACAACAAGGACAACAAGAGTCGCAGCGCAACGCCGCCCGCGCGCCCTCGTCGCCCTCGTCGGCGCGACCAGTGTAGCGGCCAAACGGCAACGGCAATCATTTCAGGATTTGTGACTTCATCTCGTCTAAATTTTGACTCTTATGGTCGCGTACAATGACTTTTCCTAGTGAGCCCCCCTCGGCTAACGCAGAGCCCCGCCCTGACCCTACCATCCGTTTAACTGTCCCGTCCGTCCGCGGGGCGTCGCGGGGCGTCGCGGGGCGTCGCGGCGCAGTGCCAACAGCTTTCACTCACTCCGCTGCTCCGCGCTCCGCCAGCAGCCGACTGTATATTTAGTGGAGCGGGGGGGGGGCGAGGATTGGGGCGAGCGATGCCCCCGGCCTGCAGCCGACGCAACGCAGCCCTCGCGCCCCGCCCCGCCCCGCCCCGCTTGCAATAATACCTCATCCCGGCCGCCCGGGCCAGATCCTCTGGGGGTCGCAAAAATAAACAGGAAATGCCTGCGCGCGAGGCGAGGCGAGGTTGGCCGCCCTCACACTCACACACACACACACACACACACTAACCTCGCCTCATCGGAAGGCAGGCCGTGACGGCGAGTCATGAAAAATTTAGACGACAGCGTGTCCGTCCCGCGTGGCGATGTGTGCCAAGTGGAAACCCCCTGCCGCGCTGCGCCGCGCCACGCCACGCCGCGCAGCGCTCGACGGGACAGACGTGGTGGCCACGACGGCGATGACCGCAGAGGGTGAAAAATAACCTCATGACGGGAAGCAAAACAAAGGGCAGCCGCGCCGCGGTGCGACGGCGACACACCACTTGCTCCGGCTCCAGCGGGGAAGTCCACCACACCACACACACACAGACACACACACACACTCACACGTTGATAAACCCATTGATATCGCGAGGGCGGCGGGTGGCCGGCCACGTCACCCTGCCTGCTGCATAATGCATGAGCTCCCCCCCCCTTCCGCCCACACGCCGCGTTCCCCCGCTGCCCGCCCTGTCGGGTCGTTCGTAGTCGTTCGGACAGTTTTGCCGGTTGGTCTAGCGCCAGCGCGTCAGCCCGCGCCGCGCCATGCCGCGCCACGTCGCCGTGGAGGTCGCTCGCCCCGCGGCCTCTGGCTGCCTCTGGCTGCCTCTGGCACGGCGGCCCGCGTCCCCGCCACGCCGCGGACGCCACAATTACAGAGCGTCGTTTGCCGGGCGACGGGAAGCCCCGCCACGCCGCGCCACGCCGAGGGAATAAACCGGCCAGCAGCGCGGCTCGTTAGTGACACCGTCGTGGGCAGCGCGCTGCAGCGCCTGGCAATGCCGCGGCCACTTTCCCACCGGTGACACCGCGGCCCCGGGTTCGAATCCCCGACGCGCCTTCTCCGTTTCGGCCGTTCGTTTCCTGCCGCCAGCGCGCGTCTTCTTGTCGCTCTCCTCATTCTGAACGTGGTTGTACCGGCCGGGCGACATCCCGGCGTCTGCCGTCGCCGTCTTTGGCACCGCCGCGGCACTTTCTCCGCGGTAGGTACACTGGTACTCCATCCGCCGGCCGGCCCGCCCGGTACCCCGGTACAGTCCCGCCAGCAAGTGCCGGCCGCGCTGGGTCCGCCACACCGGCCCACAGTGGGCCAGACCAGTGGAGGCGGCCAAAACTCTTGACGCGTTGAGCTCCAGAGTCGTGAAATAGGTCTAGAACCGAACGTGTGACCCCACCAATGGACAGCTCTTTGAACGAGGAATCCATTGGTGGGGTCACACGTTCGGTTCGAGGCCTGTTTAGCGACTCTGGAGCTCAAAACGCGTCAAGAGTTTTGGCCGCCACCACCGGTCTTCTGGCCCACTGTGCACCGGCCGGTCCGCGACACCAGTCAACACCAGTCGCCCGGGAAAGCGACAGCGGAACAAGTGTGCCGGATAAGACAAAGACAGAGATAGCGGCGCGAGGCGGGCGGGCCGGACGGGCCGCCAGTTCCATTAGATCGGCTCGGGTGACTCAGCCGGCCGCCACGCCACGCCACGCCACTCCGCACGGCCCGCTGCCCACGCCGCGGCGCCTGACCTTTGGCTGCGGGCTCCCTCGCTCCGTCTCACTCGCACTCACGGGCCACCCGGCCGGGGCGCGAGAGAGACAGAGCGACGAAACACAGACTGGCTGCCGTGGCCGCCGGAGCGGGCGACGCGATGATCCGTTCCCGGAACGGCTGGATTACAAGGGAGCCTTACGGTGTGTGCACGGCCGTAACGAGCACGCTGTGGGCAGGACTTACAGTGGAGTGACCTTTGAACGAGGAATGCCTCAGTAAAGGTGCCAAGTCGGGCCGAGTAGGGAGACATAATGCCGACGCGTCATCGCTGCCGACGCTCGTGTACGTACGTCGCCGAAACGGACGAAT